CCAGAGCCCTGACTTAAACCCAATTGAGCATCTCTGGAGAGACCTGAAAATTGCTGTCCACCAACGTTTACCATCCAACCTTACAGAACTGGAGAGGATCTGCAAGGAGGAATGGCAGAGTATCCCCAAATGCAGGTGTGAAAAACTTGTTGCATCATTCCCAAAAAGACTCATGGCTGTATTAGCTCAAAGGGGTGCTTCTACTAAATACTGAGCAAAGGGTCTGAATACTTATGACCATGTGATATTTCAGTTTTTCTTTTTTAATAAATCTGCAAAAATGTCAAAAATTCTGTGTTTTTCTGTCAATATGGGGTGCTGTGTGTACATTAATGAGGAAAAAAATGAACTTAAATGATTTTAGCATATGGCTGCAATATAACAAAGAGTGAAAAATTTAAGGGGGTCTGAATACTTTCCGTACCCACTGCAAATGTCACCGTGCTCATTAGTTTTGCCCAGTGTGGGTCACTTAGCTTTGAGTTGCAACCCACAAACTCAGAACATCACTAAGCTCACTGTGTGTTGTAGCCTTGTGAGCCATTCATTCACTTTCTGAGACAATTTGTAGCCATTCATTCACTTTCTGAGATAATTTGTTTACCCACCACCTCCCCACAGCAGATGGAAAACAGCACATTGACTAACAATGTGAAGCCTTTAGATTTTTTTTTTCTCCAGTTGCACACATCAGAGGGAACAGACAAAAGGTGGTTGGCAATTTTTAGCAAGCCTTTGCAATGTGTGTGTCATAAAGACATGCTCAGTCCCTGTGACAGATTCAACGCGCCAAAAAAAAAAATAAAGGCAAATAACCAATCACCTCATTAATAGACTGGTTTATTTTTATCTTCCACTGCACCAGCCTTCACTCCTATTTCTGTCAAACATTTGTTTAGTCTGAGGTTGTGATCATCAGTGACGCAAATACAAGGAAAGAACCTGTTACCATGCACATGTTCCCTGCACAGGACCATGTGCATAGATATGACAGACTTTGTGGTGTTGCATCGGTTTTTTTTCTGGGCTCACTGTGCTATATCACAGCAGGTGTACAGAGAACTTGAGAGAGTGTCCCTGTTATTTCAAGTTTAAACCTTGCCAGAGATTTTTCCCCAGACGGTTCTGCCCTGTGTGAAACCTCTCCACCACCTTCAGTGACAGCATGAAAACCCAGACTGCCAAGAGTCTCAGCATGAGTGGAGACGTTCTCTGGGGCTGCAGTGAGTCCTGCAGGTTTGGACTTCAATCAGTAAACTAAATGTTTTCCCAACAATCCAAGTGCATGTTAAAGCCTTTGACTAGTTATAATCTGTTTGGACTAATGTGCCTCTATTTTCTGCAGAGCTCCAGTCAGCCTTTGTCTTTTCACTGTTGAGAGAATGTTTCCTCACATTATACAACAGGCTGAGTGGTGATATGTGGAGGGTACCTTTAGTCTGTCATTTGAAATCTTCAAACTGAAATACCTGAAAGCATCTTGTTAATTTTCCAACACAAAATCAAATGTCAAATGTCATGCAACTTTATTTTCTGATACTCCTGTAAGTGAACACAGTAAATGTTTCTGCTTAAAACACCAACATGCAATTAGAAGTCATGCCTGAAAACAAAAACACTGCTGGATTTCGGTATTTAGTCTTTAAATATCACTTTAATGTTTATTTAAATGTATTTGTATGTCAATGTGTAAACCATCCTCATTCTTAGAGTTGTTTTCTTTCTAGTCATTGCTGATCAATAGATTACCATTGTATTTAAATCAGAAGCATTTATTTTGGCACTATAAAGTTCAGAAAGGAACAATGCCCTCTACAACGAAACTTGACATAAAAAAATGCATTTCTTTTTCTGAGGAGCTACTGTTACATTTCAAAGCATTAGCAACTCTTCAGTCTTGGCACTTACAGTCAGCCTGAAACAAACTATGTAAAGTACAACATACATGAATTCCTTTTTTAAATCCTTTACATGTCAACATAGTTGTGGCACATTTTCAGTGAAAAACCAAATTTTTCATTACATTCTACCACTGAACTACACAAACACACTGAGAGTGAAGCGGTGATACTGATGGATCATAATTAACTCACATGGTAAAGCAAACACTGCAGACAACTCAGGGAGAAAACAGGATATTTGTCCTGATAGAGCCTGAGTTATCGTGTTACACTGTGGCCATCAAAGACTGACGCCTATGATTCTGGCCTCCAAAGGTCCCTTATACAATCTCTGTAGTTAACATATTCCTATACCATTTTTAAAGATATGTATAGATAGCAATAACTTGAAGAGCTCTACACTGGTATATTGTAAACTTTATCTGTAATGTTTTCAGCATTTTTACAATAAAGTGTTTCCTTTTGGCACACTTACTGAAGTCACCATAACTACAAGGTAATAGGTGGCTAGTGTTACACAGAATATAAAAAACATGAATACATTATTAGCTTGTATAAAGCAAAATAATAAAAAAGACATATCAGAAAACGGTTTGAACTGACTGGAGCAACCAGTCAGTGTCCAAAAAGCACCACAGGCTGGGTTTTAATTAAGTGCTGAAACATTTTAGGGAAAAACTTGGCATCAGCTGAAACTCTGAGACTGCTGAAGAGTGTAAAATGATTTGAATTATACATCAGATAACTCGCTGAAAATAAATTTATGATTCCTGGAAATTTCACAAGAACTCGAGGTTCTGCAGAGGGTCAGTCAGAGCAGGCGGCACAACAGAAGTGCTAAATTATTATGGATATATTCAGTCTGGCTGTGAACATGCTCCAAGAGTGTGGTGAGTGCACTGTGATACTTCCTAAAACCCACTTCACCTAAACCTGAAATGCATTTACAATCACTGGATGCTACTTTCCAAATGGGAAATGTATGGTGGCACAGCCATACAAGCCGGTAACAGTGTCATATGAAATATTAAGGAAAATGTTGAGTGTGACTCACTGGTCTCATTTTACAGTCTTTATGAGGAGGCACTAATGGCTTTGCTCTCGTTTCGCTGGGAGGCAAGACGTCGACAGTGCAGGTATACAGAGAGAGGATGGATGAAGGCCAGCAGGGTGAGCAGTGTCAGGCCAATGTTCATCTGCAGTCACATGAAGAAGAGAGAGGGACATGGAGAGGACGATTCAGAGGTGGTGTGGAAGGCAAAAAACGGGTAAACAGGACCGTATCAGTTATACTGTATGTCATGTACTCACATATAGAGGATCTCCACCCAGAGCACCTTTCACCAGAGCAAAGCAAGGATACTGCAGCAAAGAAAACACTGCAGACAGAGCCATGATCAGACCGAGCAGCTTCCCGAAGTGGCAGGATGGGAAACTGCACACATACCCATACACGTAAACATAGTGGCAGCATGGCAAACAGTTACGACAGTCACAGAATTTAAGAGCTTTTAAAATGTTATATATTAAAAAATAAAGTTAAAAATAAATTTAACCCCCATCTGGAACACAAAGAGGAGTGGACGTGTATGTGTTATGATACTCACGCCACATTGATGAAGGCTGCGTTGCCACCATAAAGGAAGGAGCGGTTGAGGACTTGCAGGATGAAAGTGAGGTACTGAAGAGGCAGGTACGGGGTGGAGGCACAAACTGAGAACACCACACACTGCAGCGCCGTCAGGAAGAGAGAAGGCACCGACGCCTGCAGGTCCACCTCCTGCTCGCTCACTCCTACACACAAACACACACAAGCACTCAAATGAAAACACACGTGTCCAACCAGTAGCAAGGTCATGTGCAATAGGTGCATTTCTCAATATCTGTCATCACAGATTATTTCTCCCCCCTTCACAAAATCTACAAATGCATAACACAGATGTGGAACAATAAATACAAACTTTGGGTCTGTAAAATAAACCAGACATTTGGACACAATAAATCAGTTGCTTTGTAGATGAGTAACTTTCTCTGGCAGGTACATGGCCCTGATGGCTTGTTTCTCACTTTATATTAAAGTCATCAGGTCTGCAGTGACAACAGCTAGTCAAAGGGGTTTTTTTCTGCTACAAAGATCAGTCATGAAATTTGGTGTTGTAAATATTAATAAGTTGTTATTAAATGTGTTTCGGTCTGGATATTTGTTAAATGGCTGAATGGCACATTTGGAGGAATATCCATAAATTCTTACAAATGGTTTATTAAGGCATTAAATCATTAATAAAAGCATTAGTTACAACTCAAAACAAAACAAAATAAACAAACAAAAAAAACTCCAGCCTTACTTAAGCAGTACCAAATTTTGAATTTCATAAGCAGGGGCCCACTGGCAAACCGAGGACACACATAATAGACTCATTAAGAGCCCTGGGCATGGATCCATTAGTCACTGTCACCTGGAGCTCACCTGGAGCGCGGTATCTGCGCTTAAGCCTGTCCATGATGAGGCCGTTCCACGGGGCACACAGCACACCACACAGCTGGGTTATAGCAAAGGCATTGATGTACTGGCTCACTTCAGGAACACCCAAGTAAAGATAAGATGGCTGGATGAAAAAAAATGACTCCAACAACAGTTCAGCAAGTCTGAAAGAATTTGCAATAACAGATCACAAAGGCTGCAAGTTTGTTTGTTTTTTAGCAGAATTCATACACCAAGCCAGCCTACAAGTGATTTACATACAAGTCAATACTTTTCAAAATTACAAATAATAATCAAAGAAAAAAGGAATTTAAAGAAACATTTTAGTTGTCACATAAAATATGTAGAAGGAAAACATTATTGTGCTGTCAGGTTGTTGCTAATATAAGGCTAAGGCTAAGGCTAAGTGCAGAGGATGACAAAGGCTTACCTAATAAGGATGTACTTCTATTCATGGGAGACAGTGAGGTGGTGTAGTGTTGGTGTGTTTACCCAGTGAAGGCTCTCCCTCTGTCAGTCTGTCCAGCATGGGGTTGAGAGTGCCGATAAACATGTAAATTCTAAGCTGCATCACCGACAACCAAACCAGGTGCCATGCAAAGAACCTGGACAGCAAACACTCACGTAGACTCTTCTCTGAGAGACAAGGGAAGATCAAGAGATGAGTAGAACACAGGGGGAAAAAAGTAAAGATTATGGTAAAGAAATACTTTAGCCTAGACTTTTATCTTACAGTTCATTGATGCAACTGTAAACTGTGCAAACTTGCCGTCTAACACACAAACCTTGTTTCACGGGGCTATCTTTGTCAAGTGGCAGTTCTTCTATCTGCCTCCTGGTGGTGCTGCTGGCTGTTGCCTCTAAGCTCAGAGACTTTGATTTACCGCAGGTGACTCTGACAGATGATAAAGGTCACACTGGGGTCAGCAACAGATTGGGGACCTTGTGGGAGTTCTTTATTTGCTTGTTAATTGTTTGCTTTATAAATGTGGATTCAAGTCCCAACTGTCTATAAAACATCACAACTAACATGTTTCTCTTGTTGCAGGTGTACACCCAGACCATGTTTCTCTTGTTGCAGGTGTACACCTAGACGTACTGTACAGTAGCCTACACACAGTGTATTTACAAAATCAATTTAGACTTTTTTGTCATTGTTTTATAAACTAATTCAATCATTTTTTAACATATCTGGACTAAACAAATTCATTCTTTTTTTTTTTATTATAACCACTGTTTGCACTTGATGTATTCCTGATGTATGAGGCGTTAATATCTGTGTGGTTTGTTGAGGAGTCAAACCCATATGTGTAGCGATCAGGCAGTGGGTAGGGAATGACGCTTCTGGGCAGCAGGAAGAAAGTCCTGAGCAGGTGAATGATGCTGCAAAAGGACAGAAAGAGGAAGGAGGTGCGAAGAGAGACACCAGACTCATGTAACAACTGCAGGAGAAGAAGAGACAGTGTGGAGATCATCAGCAGTGAGACACTTTCAATATATCCTGAAGGATTTATTAATGAAAGTGACTGTTTCTCACCTTAATGACAAGAAGGAGTGCTGAGGAAGAGTCAAAGGCCCCACTATAAAGAGTGATGATGGTGGAGCGATGTGAGCCAAACAGGTTCCCTACCTTTAAAAGAGACATTTGAATTAAAACGGATGACCGTTACTTTATTAGAAATTCTGACTTGGATACAGTATCTCCTTTTTGGAATACATCTCTTGTCATTCAGCGTAAAGTAAGCATAAGCATAAACTTTACTGCCAAGTATTATCAAAAATACAAGGAATTTGACTCCAGTGCAAGTTAAAGGAGCAAATACAAGTTAAAAGAGCAAAACTGTTCATGAGTGTAATGGCCTGTGGGAAGAAACTGTCTCTCTGTCTGTTTTGGCATACAGTGACCTGCAGTGCCAACTTTGCTGGGCTGAACTGCCTGGTTATGTATGAAGATGCGTGTTTGGACTCGCAGCTGCACAACAAATTAGATGCTACAGTTTCCTGTCTTTGTGTTTTGTCCTCTCATAATCAGAACTTGGCCTGAGAAAAGCTCCTGCAGCCAACAAACATTTGGGGAAGGCAGAACCTCTGACTTCTCTTTGTGTTCCTCTTTAGCGGCGGCCTGAGGACAGACCTGGATGTTTTTTACTCAAAGAACACTGATTAGGTTTTCAATATTGTGAAGTCAATCGGTTCCAAAAAAAAGCTCTAAAAAAGTGTCTCTCAGTCAGCTTTCCTAAAAAATGGGTCATGGAAGGAGTTAGTGGTTTCTGATCATGTGTCTTTTTTATTGTTCCTTTATAATGATACTCCACTAACAGAGCCTACATGCAGACCTCCTAACACATACTGCATACAGTGTCTCCAAACCTAAAACGATGTGTCAAAATTGCTACAATTTGTTGTTAGGAAAAAATATTTAATGTATTTGTAGAAGATATTATATCAATATGACATTTTTAGATGTTTTCAACAAGCTAATGAGTAAACATTGCTTTGTAGAAACCAGGAGAAAATGATCCATCACGCAAAATCTATGTAAATGTGTGGCTTTGCAAATGATCGCCTCACTACCTGCATGTTAGTGATGAGAAACATGATGCCACCGGTTGTCAGGAAAGACATAGCTGGGAAGAGCATGTTGGATATAGCTGAAAAGACAAAAGTTAGAGAATGAGGATCCACACCTATTCACAGTAACAATTTAGCCCTTATATTCAAATACTTCTTTAGACAATAAAGGCCCAACAGAGCATGAAACAAACAGGCAAAGAAATGTTTTTGCACCTGGAGTTGAAAAGGCCACCATCAAGGTGCCCATGGTGTAACAAAATCTGGTGGGAAAAAGAAATTCCAGTGTTATCGAGGCATTTTATTGACACATTGGGAGCTTCACAGTACCAACCATAAGTCATACAGTGATGGTGATGCTAGTGCAGTAGTTAGGGTCTGATGTGAACTAAATTCATTCAGGGAAATCATCCCAGTTCAAATAATCATTTAATATTACAATAATCCTGAACAGGTCAATAAGATATGAGACACTCCAGAAATCTGGTAGATAGGGAACAGGGAACAGAATCACTCCTCCTGCAATGGAATAAATAAAGTATTAAATAAGGAGATTGTCACAGAGTCAGTCAGTCATGGCTGGCCCTACAGTCAGTCAGTCCAGAGTGCTGAGTCCCCTCCCAGCCAGGTTCTGCCTGTTCGTGTCTTTCCCGAACACGCACACTCTACTGCAGCAACAGTCTTTCTACTCCTAACCCACTTTCTAACCCACAGCTATCCTAAATTTATGTCCTCCTGATTACACCTCCTGTACACTCCCCTCCTTCTGGGAATTGCCTGAGATGTCCAGTTCATGAACTTCTAGGTTGCATTGAACCTAGCGCCCATTTCCTTTTCTAAGCCTGAACAGAGCACACAAACAGTTCACATAAGGCTGATGTTCTCTCTGGATGTTTACCCATAAATTAAACAGGGAGGAGTCAAGCCCAGATATTCTTGCTTGAGCAAGAGAGGAGAAGAGAAACAGATCTCTCCAAGCTTATAAAAACACTTAGCTCACCCTTACGTGACTACTAAAAATAATATCTATATATAAAGTACACACTATTCTGTTACATAGTACCTCTGGATTGGTACCTTGTTTGTTTTTGACAACTGCACTAGATTTAACAATATGAAGTCTGGGAGACAAAAAAAGATTTCAAAATGAATACAAACATATTACATTTTCTTTTAACCGTTGACAAATGTTATAAAATGTGGCAGTTAATACATAACATACACATAAGTTCATGTGCGGGTTCAGTGCTTTTGCTGCTGTTTGGAGAACCTTTGGCCAACTTCATTTTCCTTTACATAAGATTAACTTCATCCTCATCCTCACTTTTAGCCTCTTAACCAACTATTTGCTTTCCTTAACTTTTAGTTTTCCTTTCATCGTGTTATCAGTTTGTTATTGTGGATTTTAATGGGGCAGTGCGTGAATGTGGTGTCATGTTATATGATAGAAATTAACTCAGCCAAAATGAACTCTGAACTTCCTTCAACTATGTTGGTGTGAAACAGCCCTCTTTCTGTACGGTTCGGAGAATTATGTAATGTGTCTGACTAATAATTAAATACCGCTGTGACATCCAGTATGTGCTGACGGCACTACAGGGTCAAGACACAAAGGGGATGGGGCTGATTTTGAAACTGTGCTGGCTGTAATGTATGAGCATAATCTAACTAAACCTCTGTGAATTAAAGAGAAAACCAAGCATCCTTACACCTAGAAAAACGGTGCTGCACGTGTTGTTCACCCATCATACCACCATCTCTTGTGGTTGTTGTTTTCTAGTTGATCTTTGTCATTTTCTTCTTCTTAACTACTCAGTAGATGGGCTTTTAGCCCTCTAGTGAGTAACATTTTGATGAGAGATTACACAGAAATCCCTTTAAATCCACAGATGCTTGACTCTTTAAGTTATTGTTTCTTGACTCACATTCCAAAGAGCCGAGCCACTGTAGTGCCAAACCGGTCAAACAGAAAGCCATTGGGTAATGTCATGAAATTGTTCATAAATGAGGCAATGGTGAAAACAAGAGAAAACTGTTCCTCTTGTCCAGTGCAATCTGCAGACACACAGAACCAAGAATCAGAGAAGGTTTTTAAAACATTTAAAACATACAGTTATATTGGATAATGTCTACAGAGATTCAGAATTCAAGGGCAAGTAGCAAACTGACCTAGGACCTGCGTTGTATTGACATCTGTGGAGTTGACGCACAGAGAGCTGAAGTAGCCCTCTGTCTTCAGGACAAACACAAGTGAAGCCCATCCGAACGCAGCTCCAGCAAAACACAGACACTCAACCAGACCCGTGGCAAAAGTGAAGCAGCGTCGAACCGCCACGCAGCTCCCAGGACCCGGCATGGTCCCACACACTGATATACACACAGGCAGACAGTTCAAAAACACTGCGTTTACAACTGCACAGACATTTATGCACACACACACACAAGCACACGTAGCTTCTGTCCGCGTACCTGCCAAAAGAGGAAACGAAATTAAATCTTTTTCCTGATGTCTATAGAGAGGATAGTGTTGAAATGAGCCCATCCTGCACCTTTAAAGCAGTTACATACTCCTGTGGCAGTTTATGCCCGGGCATATAGTCTGGGCTCAGATGTCTCCCCCTTGCCAGTCAGTTTTTGCTGCCACTGCTTTAGCTTGCAGGCCGACTCCTTGTTAAACCCTGCGTTACTCCAACCTTTGTCTGAACACGTCTTCCCCTTCTGCTCCACACGGCGCTGCCCTGCTTCCTGGTTACCTCCTGCTATCTGCCTAACGGTGCGTGTCTCTGCTCCTTTGCATATCTGCCTGTGAGTCACTCTGCTCCTGGTGCTACACCCAACCTGCTCCACACAGCGCTGCCCTGTGTCCTGGTTACCTCCTGCTACCTGCCTGACCCCTCTGCTACCAGCCTGATGAAGCACTGCTCTTCAACAGCTTCACCCTCCCGACTCCCACGTCCCGCTCCTCTGACCCTACGTCTCCCCCACCTGGTCACCAGGTATCCAGAGACTCAGCGTCTGTCCCTGCACTGCTCTCCTTATCCTCTTGCGTAACCTTTTAATAAACTCACTGTTCACCAGATGCGTGTCCAAAACTGCGTTTGTGGCCTACAGCCACAAGAAGCCTGGTAAGTGAGAGAACATTAAATCAACCAAAATGCATAGTCATATGTTGTATTTGCCAGCTAGTACTCACAGTTCAGCCACGGAGGGTATCAACAACTGCTCTCTCAAACCATACTTCTCTACTTTCAGCACAGTCTCTTTCTTTATTTAGTCATTCCTTCCTGTTTTCACTAGTTCCCTCCCTTGTGGTTTTCTCTTAGTCATTCTCCCCAAACTGCAACCGAGAAAACACTCCACGTCTGCGGAAATGAGCATTTCTGCAATTCCAGCAAGTCAAAGTGTGAGATAGAATCCAGATGTGGATGCTGACCTAGTAGTGAAAATAACACTGAGTGTGGTGTAGAAGCTGCTTGTCTGTGTCATATTGTATCCAGGACTGTATGAACAAGGCATTGTTGCTAGGCCTTATCGCTCCTTGACAGGCTGTAAGAGAGGATGGTGCAGAAGCTTACAACTTCTCCTGATGCTGTAGGTCTCACCCCAAAAACTGGGCTCACATTTAACTTTGCTTTATCTCCCTAGAAGTCAATAGAATTTTTACAAACCAGGCTGATTACTCTAGTGTGTCATAGACCTCAATTATTACCCCAAATGATTTAAATCACCAAAAAGCCTAACTTTCAAACATGGGTGGAATTTGTCTCTTCTAAAAGATCACAAAAGTTTCATAAGCTACAGTTCTGACAACTGAGCAAACTTCCTGTCCTGATGTAGTCATGGATAAAAGCTCTGCAATAAGCAAGTAGGTGCGCCTTGAGTAGAGCATGGATTGGGTGGCGTATCTCTGTCCACACCTGACCCATGCCCGAGAGTGTGGCATCTGAACCTGACCCAGACCCGACAAGCTTATAGGATATAATGTCCAAACCCAAGTCGAGCCTGACAAAGTTTGCCTGTGTCCAAACTCAACCTGGACCTGAACATAATTTCTAAATTTCTGCCCGAACCTGGCTTGAACTCCTGGGTACCGATGGACCCATCAGGGTTGGTTTGGGTATCCACACTCTAGCCTTGACTGGGGGTAGTTTTGTGTATTTTAGTTTACACTCTACATGCTGTAAATTTATCAATAAATGCCTAAAGTATCTAATGATAAGTAGAAGAATACAATAGAAAGCAATTTAAACACAGACATCTCTGAACATGTGGTGAAGAGTTGCATGATAAGGTTTTTTGCCTGTCTTGTGACTATGGTTAACTAAAATATTGTTGCTGTTGGGCAGAAATTTGTATCTCCAAAACCACTATTTCTAAGGAACTGAAAAAAACCCTGTGTATCTAAAATAATTCAACATCACACTGTCAACGATGGTACTGTGTCTTTATTAACAGTCACTTACCAGCATGTCATATTAACATTTTACATAAATCAAGCTCATATGAGGTTTTGCTGACAGTTTCAGGATCTAATGGAGCTACAAGATTTAGTCACAAGCCCTTCTTAATGCTTTCCATTGGTTGAATGTTTGTAAAACCCACAGACAGACGTAAAGGGTGATCAATAGAATTGATTTATGAAAAAAATTAAAATGACAAAATATGGACATATGATGTTTCTGCCTGTCAGTAACAATAAGTGGCTAGAACATCTTAGCTTAGTGTAAAGACTGGACACAGGGTAAATAGCTACTGTAGCATGGTTCTCTACAAAGGCAGAACCTCTAGAGCTCATTAATTAAGACCTCAGTTGTCTAATCTGTACAAACCAGAAATGTAAAAATGTCAGTTCATATATAGCTTCACATTTATCAGACAGATATAAGTTTGTCTGTCTGTCTATTACCACACACCAAGTGCAAAGTGGGGCTTTGGAGGGTTCAGGCAGTTTCTCACTTTGCCTGGTTGGTTATCCAGTCTTGGGTTTAGGTTATGGTTTAGGTACTGGGGTAGCTTAGTCATAAACAGAGGCAAAGGCTAGGGAACACATTTTGAAACTAAAGGTCCTGATAAGTATAAAAGTATGTGTTTGCATAACCAGGCGTTGAACTCTGCAATCGTGCCAAAAGGAAACATCGACATCAGCAACTTAAGATGAACTACGAGACACTGTTTCGCCATCACTCACTAGTTCTTCTTTCTAAAACTGTGGATGGTAAGAGATGAAATGCAACACTTTTGGGATCATCTAATGACAAAATCCTAAAATGTCCTACAGGTTGCACTAATATATTGTATTCATGCTGCACAGTTGTGGTATTAATTGTGCATTTCTGTCTGAGTGGCTGTTTTTGTTTTTCACCTTCCTAGACAAATAATGTTTGTATATGAATTGAACTAATTTGTATAAATCTTAATGTAGAATGTACTGAACTTTAGGGAACCAAAAGACTGAAGACAGTTGTGACTGTGGGACTGCCCTCTGACAGGGTTAAACACACACAGCTGGAATGACAAGCTGGTTAATGCTTAAATTTAAACTTCAGAAAAACTGCTAAACCTCAGTGAAATTCTGTTTACTGACAATACTTGCATACACCATGCACAGCATAGTTAGGGCAGTGACACATTTTGTTTTGGCTCTGTACTCCAGTATCTAGGATTTTACATAAAACAATGACTGAAACTAAAAATGTTCAGCTTTACTGTTGTTTGAGGCTACACATCTATATTCACTGAGCAATAAAGCACAAAACCATTTAATACAATCCCAATATTGCAGACAGTGCAGAGGGACAATGTCAAACAGACAGACAAAGCATCAAGCAAGCAGCTACTGTATTTATGGCTGGAAGTTGTACTTATCTTTCCTGGTCAAACTGAACAGCCAGCTATAGCCCAGATGAGCAGCTGGTTGAAGGGAAGAAACCTCCAAAACAAGCCAGAAGTGAAGTTGGCTACACTTCAGGCAGAGCATCACTTGGAAAGAGCCAGCTCTATGGATCAGCAGCACCATTTAAGGTGTGTGACTGTTGCCCACACTGAACTGTAACCTGCACAAAGAGTCGTGTAATACAGCTGTAGCCTACGTTAAGAGTCGTGCAGGGCATTACACACACACACACACACACACACACACACACACACACACAGGAGAGCTGATCTGTTTTCACAGCTGCCTAATGTCTTGTCATGAGAGGATGCGCACTTACGTGATGTTATATTCCCCTGACCTTTATTGTCCTCCTGCCATCCACTGATTGTTGGTCCTATAGAGATGTAAGGACAAGGCTGCGGTCGCTGGTGACAGGGTGGATGGGGAGCAGTGACTTCTTTCCTCCTGATAAAACAGAGGACTCTGCCTCTCTGTTGCTCCCATTTCTGCTTTCTCAGCGCTTGGACCGGTCAAACAGGAAGCCATTAGATAGCATCACGAAATTGTTCATAAATGAGGTAATGGAGAAAACAAGAGAAAACTGTTGTGCAGTGCAATCTGCAGACACACAGAACCAAGAATCAGAGAAGGTTGAGAAATACTAACATCACAAAGTTACAGACTTTAGATTTAAGAAAAACGAATAAATAAATGAATATAGTACCTGATAAGAGGGGTACACTCATTGATGTATTAGTACACTTGGGCTGTTTAGTCTGTTGGCGCCATCGTGTGTTCGTTTAACCAAATTGCATTCCTTTGTAAAAGTGTGCAATTAAATAGACATATTCACTGACCTTGTGGCGCAATGGTAGCGCGTCTGACTCCAGATCAGAAGGTTGCGTGTTCAACTCACGTCAAGGTCAAACAGATGCACAGAGTATATTTGGGCTCTAATGGCAGCTGTCACTCAGTGTTTGCTTTTGCACTTGTATTGCATCCCTCTGTACCACTGACTTAAAAATTAAGATCTTAATGACAATGGTCTCTTCCAGGATGGCAGTGCCACAGAACCGGAGGCGTTTGCCATGGCCATCGCCACATGCCAGCTCAACTGAACACCAGTATGAAATGCTAGTTGTAACTCCTTTGTGATGAGTATGGTGGACTGCACATTATACACTCATAGTTACAATTATTTCATCCAAAGCACTGACAACAAGTGGAGCTGATGCTTCTGATCTCCTTGTTCCTCTTTGTTTGTCCTGTCAGGAAGGTTTTTGACTATGCGCTTTGCCATGTGAGACAGTGAAAAACAATTAGGTCATACCACAGTGCTGCCACTGTTATGCATCTAGTTCAAAAAGCAGAAGACAACAGGAAGAGTGGTTCAAGGCATACAGGCTGCCTCTGTTGTGGACACACGCACATACACATTCACGTGAGCGAGGAGAATATTATTAGCACAAACCATCATTGCATCATTTGTCTGTGTCATATTTGGCCATCATTTCACTCTCCCCCACGGAGACGCAAATGCACATGACGACACCCTGAAACACAAAAACAGTTACAGTTTTTCTGTAAATCTGTGAATACTGCTTCCTCATTTAATAACATTAAGCCATCTAATTTTACAGCATGCAAAGTGCAACAGATGCATAGCAGCTGTAGTGAATGAGTCATGAACAGGATGGGAGAGACACACAAGAAGGCACTGACATGTTTATAGCCCCCAGGACTTAGAAAGAAGGCAGTAGCAGAGAAGGGGGAGGGGGGTAGGAGAAGTTAATGACAGACAGTGGAAAAAAGACTTATTTTTAAAACCATCTGTTTTGTGTTGAATGATACAGTTTTGTACCTGGGACCGTATCTGTTTTATACTGTGATATTTACAAGACAGTAGAAAAATAAAAAGCAACAAAAATGGTGGAAAGAAAGTTGAAGGGGAAAAAAAGAAATGTTGTAAGTTAAATATGGCCTATAAGCGAAAATATTTTTTGAAGACAAATGCAAAATAGAAGAGTAAAACATGATGGAAAACTTACATTTCAACCATTTTTACATTTTATCATGACCTCCTCCTCCTTCATTCCTTCATTCCTTCATTGTAGTCCTTGTCCACAATGCAGACGAATGACCTTTGATTCAAGTAAAAATAACAGGCAAACACAAATACGTTAACCTGAGAGGATATGCAGCTGCTGTTTTTAGGTGGTACTCTGTAGATTTTAACTTGAGGTGACTGTGTAATATCTCAGTTGAGTGGACAATGCAGTGATGAGTAACTTCCAAAACTTAGCTATCTTGGCTTGGGGCAAGGATGCATAAGATGGAGCTTGGGAGTGCATGCAGTTCCTGTATATGGACTGACTGACTTCATGCTGATGTACAGTATTAAAGCTACACTGAAAGACAGAGAGGGATATTAAATGGAAAAGGGACTGAAGAGAGAAATCAAGTGTTTATCATGATATATGCTGCCCTCCAAACACTAAAGAGTGTAAGGGCAATGCTCAAGGAGTGGTCTTTGTGTTCCCTTTGCGCTACCTCAGTGCTTAGTATCTGATAATTTAGTCTAACTTTATTTACCCTCTTTAAGGATAACTTTAAATTTGACAACAACTGCACTCATTCAAATGTACTAGAACTGCAAAACTGTGGACTGTATGCTCACACACGTGTGGTATATGTGTGTGTACAGCCACGGTTACCACAGCAGACGCAGCTATGTGGCCCATTGGACTGTGTTTATGTCACAGAGACTCTATTTCGGGACCCTGTGTTGTTCAAAAGGTCAGATAAAGAAGCACAGGAATCCTCACAAAGCAGAGGGTGGGGGTGTTGGGTGAAGCAGGGTGAAGGCAGATATCCACACACACACACATCACACACCTAGTGCAGTGCTGACGGTGAGAGAGAACGAGGGACAGGGACAGAGAAGGAAAGTGGAGAAGCACAGACAGACATTCATCACAGCTCCTGTGAAGATGATTCACTTCTGACTGAATGAAAACTTTCTAGAGGAGATAGACTCGTTTAAGAGTGCAGGATCATTATTGCAAGAAAAAGTCTGATTTCACCTTTGTCCAGTGGATAAACAGGCATTTCTGGAGGTCATGGATGGAGAACCGCCCTGCCATGAGATTTCTGAGTCTACAGACACGACTGACACTAATAACAACAACAACCAGGTTTGTTTTTGTATGTTAATATTAACATCCAGAATAAAAGGTTTCACATCTATAAAACACTGAAATTACAACCTGTACCAGAAATAGACAGTGTCTGTGGCCGTGGCAGGTGTTGTGTTTGTAGTGAGGACAGCAGGACAGATGAAGTGGTTTTGGCTGCACTTGCTGTGCTACACCTGTTCTTACTCCTGACTGAAAAATACACATGCACGTACAAACACACACCATGCAGATTCCTATTCCCTCTGATCAGTCATTACTGCAGGGCCTGACATGTTGTTCCTGCAGGAGGTCATACATAAAAAGAGCACATGGGTTTTTATTATAAGATTTTAAGACAATACTGCAAAAGTACATTCAACTCTTATGTGAAGACACAGTATACCACAAAGTAAAGTAAATGACCTCTGAAATCCCTAAAGTTAAAGTAAAAGCACCACCATTCAAAAGCAGCTGAGTTTTAAAAAAATTATAGTTAAATTTAAAGCAGCGAAAGTTTTTCAGTTGAAGATTAGTTATGATAGAAATGGCACTTTAACTTGATTCTCGATATAAGTTTATGATGTGGTTTACAAACAGCAAGGAGCTCAGACATCCTAAAGTTCAAACTCTCTGCTGGATCCAAGTACGTAAGACAGTCAACAAATCCCAGGCTGAAGCACAGCTCTCACATTACGAGGGCCGTGTTTTCCCCATAGGAAAGTGTGGACACTAATTTTAGTTCATCTTACAGAATGCTACTGTTTAAAATGAAGCCATGATCTTAACAAGACTGTCATAAGGTTAAGTAAATCTACTTTGTATTTTTATGTATTCTTCTTCAGTTTTGTGTCACTGCCTCACCTGTAACAGTCTTCTTTCTAACTCAGCTTAATAAATCGAACAGCAGGGCTATAACTGTCCAGCATAAATGAATTCTTCAGTTTTGTGTCACTGCCTCACCAGTAACAGTCTTCTTTCTAACTCAGCCTAATAAAACAAACAGCAGGGCTATAAATGTCCAGTATAAATGATTGAATCAGCAAAATGAGAAAGATGGTCATCACAATTATCCATAGTCTATGTCACTTTGAATTGGACTGCAGCTGTATTTTGTCCATGCTCCACAATCTCGAATGGTCTGTGTGCTTCACATAAATGAGAAAATGTGTGATTTAGAGGCCTACAGTACAACGACTGAACTGAAACTTGTATAAAATATTTAAAGAAGATAAAGGCATAACCCAGCCCAACTGTGTGTTTCTTTTCTTCCAGGCAGAGGGGCCAGGCCCGGGGGAGAGTAAAGCCCCAGGGATAGAGCACTCAGAGGGGGAGACAGCAGAGGGTCAGGTGGAGGAGACCACAGCACCAGAAGAAGCAGCACAAAAGGCTGGTGCTGATGATACAAACCCTACCGGAGGTGATGCTGAAGAGGCTGAACAAGATAAAGGCGAAGCATGTACCGATGCTGACGTGAAGGATCTTGAACCAATAACTGCAGAAAAAGACAAGGAGAAAGAAGTGGAAGAAGAAAAGAAAGATGTGCCGGTGGAAGAGGTCAAAACTGAGAAAGACAAGGGGGAAGTAGAGAACAAAAACAAAGATGAAGACAAGAGTAAAACTGAGGAAAAGGTAAAGGAAGCTGAGAAAGATGCAAGTGGAAAAGCAGCAAAGGGGGCTGAGAAGAAAGAAGTGAATGTAGAGATTAAAGAAAAAGGAAAGATGGAGGCAGAAAAGCAAGCAAAGCCCAAAAGAAAGAGTGGTCCTCCCTCCTCTTCAATCTCCAGACCTAGACCCTCTGCGCGCTCCATCAGGGCAGCCGCTAAAAATGACATTATTGCCAAGTTCCAAAAAGGTGCACCAGAGTAAGTCACTGTTTGACACCCAGTGCCTCAAGTAAGTTTAGAGGGTGACATTAAAATATGGTCTGATAAAAGTTTAATAAGAAACTGTGGCATTTGTAGGACACCAATACCACGCAACTTCAAAATTCAGAGGTCATCTGCAGCTGCAGCTACAGGAGCCTCTATCAAACAGAAGATGCTTCAGTGGTGTCGCAGCAAGACTCGCCGCTATGAGGTAAGATCAACACAGAATCTTCATCTAACATGTCAAATGCCCACATCTGTTCACTAGAGAAAGTATCAAATAAGAATAAATCGATGCTTAGATGCACATGTGCTTCTTTGTGTTTATCCAGTTCTTGTTCTTTGACTTTTTTAGGGCGTCAACATAGAAAACTTCTCGTCGTCATGGTCTGATGGGCTGGCGTTCTGTGCTCTGATTCATCGTTTCTTTCCAGACGCTTTCGACTACAGCTCGCTGAAATCAGAGGAGAGGGAGAAAAACTTCACACTGGCCTTCCAAATGGCAGAGTAGGGTGCATTTAGCTCTGTTTCCTTGTTTCTCTCTGCATGTGAGAAGTTGTTGAACCCTGCAGGGCACAAATTTACTCTTGGGCCCCAGGAAAATGCAAAGACACTCCACATCCCCATTTGGTGACTCGTTCTTTATCCATGTACCCTGTGGCTTCCTAGTACCAACAAGTCATCATACACTCAGAGATCCAGAGGCCTACAAGTAACAAGCAGTTAACACTGTTAAAGAACGTTCCCATTACGTTATTCCTTCTTTAGAGAATGTTATTAAATGTTCTGGGAATGTTCCTTCCTATCTGTCTTAGTTCACTTTGTGGCAATATGATACTTTTTAACAGATATCATTGATATTCATTGACAACCACGTATTTATTTATTGTGTTTTTCTGAAGCTGTTACATTTATAAATAATTTGAATGATTAGGGTTTTCACTATAGTACACCTATAATATTTTTAAACAACATTAATTAGGGGTTGCAATGACAGGTAATTTATGTTCCATAAGGTATACAGTAAAGAAAAGGTTCTCCAACACTGAATGGTTCATCTTTATGACAATTAATATTTCAGCTTATCTAAACTGTTTTTTAAAAGTTTGTTAAAAAGTAGATTGTCCTGCTTATACCTTCATTTTCTCTCCAAAAAAGAAAAAAAAATCATCAAAGTCAAAGTCACTTAATTTGGAGAAATGTGTTTTTCATTAGAAAACAATTAAATGGGCTATATGGTAAGATGGTTAGGTAATTAGGCAACAGGTAGTGATTAATAGTGTAAATACTACCCCAGATTTGCACACTACTCACAGCCCTAGATTCACTGACATACAGTGAGCCCAGGGGCTTATTAAGGGTGTGCGAACAGTTGCCCACTTTGCCTACCTTGTAATCCCTCAACTCTCTCCTCTTCTTTCATTTGTCTTCTTTCATCACCTCTCCCTGCCAGGTCCCTGGCTGACTGCTGCCCTCTGCTGGAAGTGTCAGACATGATCATGATGGGTAACAACCCGGACCCCATGTGTGTGTTCACCTATGTCCAGTCACTCTGCCAAAGCCTGTCCAAAATAGAGAAAGAGAGGAAGGACAAAGAAAAGGAGGAGAAAGGGGAGGCTGGTAATGAGGGAGCAGAGAAAGAGAAAGCAGGAGAGGTATCGACAGAGAAGAATGAAGAAGAGTCAGCTGACTACGGGAGGATGGATAGCCATGAGGAGAAAGAGGGAGAGACTGCAGAGACAGAGGGAACTGGTGAGGAGAAAGATGCACCAAAATGCTGTGAGATGGAGGAAGGTGGAGGAGGGTTAGTCGAGGCGTAGTCCTAGAAAAACACTGACAGCAAACAAGAAGACTGAAAAGACCAAAAAGAGTGTTGATAGTTGCCAATAAAGTTGACTCTCAACGTGAATACTGGCAATATGATGCTGTTTGAAAGTGTACTGTGCTGTTCTTTTCCCCATTCGTTTCCATGTGGCTGCACTTGTTTGTTTTGAGCACATAAAGCAAGAATGCTCCTCCATTTGCTGTGTTTAAAAAAAATGAATTAAATGATGGACTTGTGAATCACAACGTTATTTGTGCACCAAGAACATCTGAGTTGTGATACTCAGTCAAGATGAACGGACTGTGATAACAGTGTGTTCACAGCGCCAATAGGTTGTTGTTGTTTTTTTTGGTCACAGACTAGTATTTTATAGTACAAAAATGACACACCTCTACACTATAAAGAAGTTCAACTTGAAAATACAATTAAAAACTTAAGAAAAATAGCTAAAAAACAGTTGATTTAAAAAAACATCCACTATAAAGTTTAACCCTTTTTGTACCCTATCAATGATAAAGCTATAGTGTCATGTTTGACTGTATGTTGAAACGACAATCTGAGGTCGTAGTTACACTTTACTTACAAAAACTTGTTGTTGGGCCAATACTGACCACACCACATGGTAGTGCAGTTATTTCCCAGGCATCCAGAACTATAGAAAAGAAATGATTCATTTAATAACAGACAACAACTTGATAACTGATTAATGGTTTGAGCAAAAATGTCAAATATCACAATCAGTTTCTCAAAACTGATTATTTGGTTTGAGCAAAAATGTCAAATATCACAGTCAGTTTCTCAAAACTGATTATTTGCCCAAAAGTCAGTGATACTGAACTCAACATCTTCAGGTTTGCTGTTGCTGTTAAGAAAAAAAAAAGCCTATTTGAATATGTTATCTTTGGCATCAAGCATTTTCAGTTTTCTGAATTTCTTTACACTAAGCAATCAAATGATTATGAAAGAAAATAAGATGTTTTGTAACAAATAGATTAATACTGCCTTGCCTTAGGATTCCTGCATTATTTGATGCAGAAAAATGTAACTTAAGCAATTTCACAAAAACATTTTCACGACCACAATATAAACTGAAATACACTGCGTGACTGCATTAATAGTCACACCTGTACAATTGTATGCAATTCAATGCAACACATCTGTTTTTATGAAGCTCAAAATTGTTCCATTTTTGGTGAGGTTGTCATAAATGTATACATTCAATTATATGTTTATAACTGAAGTCATAAGCAAAGGTGGTGTTGTACTGGACTGCATTATATTCAGAGATCTCTTTATATTTTTGTCATCCCCAGCTACGTACATGAGAGGGTCAGAATAATAGGAACACCTCTGTATATAATGTAGTCCAGTACAACACCACCTTTAACTGTGAATATGTTTGCCTGCTACAGGGCATGACCATAAGACAGATGATTTATTACAGCTAATATTGTAGGCTACTTTTTAAAAAAGCTATTAACTTATGGAGAAACTTTTGCTTTAATAATCTAGTCTTGATTATATGTCAATAAATCATCAGTAGGCTATTCAGTACAGGAAAACAACCTCCACTGCCACTGCTTTCTAGTAGTTACGGTAATCAGCGTCATGCAACCGGAAAGCCCATTGTGTTGTCTGTTTTGCTGGCTAACCCACGAACTGTGTTGAGCTTTTTCCAAAATAATTCTCAGCGGCAGCAGTGAAATATGTGCGCAAGCATGCCACCGGGCAGCCTGAATCTGGAGTCACAGCTTTTGTCCATTATGGACGTGCTGGTGAAAACGGCGGTTGCGGAAATCACTCAGTTGTTCTCGGAGAGCTCCGCGTCTCTGCGCCTGCATTTAACCCAGAGCCTGAAGGAAAACGAAGCCCTGAGGATGAGGATGAAGGTGATGAGGAGTGAGCTCTTCTCCCTGAGACTGCAGACTAGAACGACCCGGCCGGCAAGCCGCTTTTCGCCGATCAGAGGGACTATCCCCAAACCACGGGCTAAACCACAAGGTAAGGAAGAGCTTAACTTCACTTTATAAAAAAGCCCACTCTATTACCCGAGTAGCAAAGTAACGCTCTCCTTCTGTAGGTCAATTAAAGACAAACTCACACTTCAGCTAGCTAACTGCTCCCCCAGTCTTCTTCTTCTTTGGTATTTTACTGCAGACTGCATCCTGCTGATAATGTTTTTTTTATCCCCCAACCAAAACATGTCATTGCTGTAATGGTTTTTATAAAATGATTAGCAGACTAGTCAGTCAACTTTCATATTCCATGATTCCTGCTCTGGAGGTTGTCAATATGTTTGATGTGATTCATTCAGATTCATTGTTTTTAATTTAACCGTGACTGGTTTTAAACAAACTAATAGAGAATAAATGTATAGCAGGGTTATGGCCCAGTGGACCTCTGTAAAGGGCCCCCACACTGAAAGAGAGAAGAATCATAAACTGTGGCTGTGTAGTTTGTGGTCATTTTGTGCTACTTGATGGTTGTTTTGGGTCTGCTTGTATGTCTCTTTGAAGATATTTTAAATCTCTGTGGTTGCATGGCATCGCTGTGGATGTTTTGCATCTCTTTGTAGTTGTTATATTTCTTTTTCTGGTCATTTTGCATCTATTTGTAGTCATTTTTCATCACTTTGAGGTGGGTTTTTTTCATCATTTAACATCTATCTGAAGTTATGTATTTCTTTGAGGACGTCTCTTGATGTTTGTTCTGCATGTCTTTGTGGGGGGTTTGCATTGTTTTGTTTCTCTTTGTCATGTTGTGTCACAGTTTGGTTGTTTTTTTTGTTTTTTTTTGTGGATATCTTATGAAGCCATAATATATTGTCATTGAAATAGCTGGGATGTATTATTTGTTCAACTGAATCTGACCAAATAAAATACAGCTGTCGATATCAAAACAATTGTAAATCAGAGCTGTAATATAGTCTAGAATTTAATTTTTCTGATTATTGTATGACATTTTGCATTATGTACAGTTAGTAATGTAGACACCAAATATGGAGCGAGAGGGTGAAAGGTTGAGCTGAAGGTTGTTGCGGAAAAATAATCTATTAAAGCTTGGTGAGTGTAAAATAAATACTTAACATCACTTCTGAGAGTTATTACATATTTATTCCTGCAGGAAGGAGCAATCTGTAAACAGAGTGTCTAAACCAGTCTGTTGCAAAGAAGCTCAATAAACAGAATGTGACTGGCCTTCTTATACTCAGCATACAACAACAGACAACAGATGCGTAAAGAGGTAAAGGAAACAGAATACTGGTTAAAACAGAATACATGTTATCTAGTACAAACATGCTCACTCATGCTAATACAGTCAACTGTCATGACATAAGCACACAAATAACTGCAGAGGATAGCTATAGTCATTACTATAAAAAAGGGTACTAATATAAATTCCCACTACAAGGTCCCTGTCCAGGATCAAACTGGGGATGTTATACACTATCTCAGGTAAACCATGAAACCAATATACTGCTGCAACCCTGTTTACAACAGTTGTTTATGTGCATTTAATTCGCAGCTTGGGTGTGTGGACAGTGACAATATGCAGCTCCTCACCCATACACCACCTGTACCTCATCTGTTACTACACCGACAGCAGTCTTATACTCTTGGTCTTCTTCTTTCCTCCACTAGCACCAGTGCCTCAAAAGGATGTTGGGGAAGCTGCTTCAATTTCTCGACAATTAGAGAAGAAGACATCCTCCTCTGCCAATCAAGTGCAGGTAAATACAGCACATGCTTATATTTTCAGTCACTAATACAGTAGTTTTGGAATTATATTTTGCTCATGCATATCTGTTCTTATATGTTAGTGTGCAGATGTGGAGAGTCCAGATGTCATCCTGATCAAAGATGAAGATGACATTGGAGGATGTGGGCCAGGTGAAGGTGAGTAGGCTCTTTTTAATAATGTAACACCTGGTTGTCAGTTAGTGAGTCATGAGAGCTGAGAGGTATTCTGTGTCTTGCTCAGGTCTTTGTGGATTAGATTAGATCACTGATTGGATTCTAATGTGTTTTTTATTTCCAAAAACCAAGGATTGGTTTGAAAGATGCCAACTTCACTTGGCTGGACCTGGGCTGGTTTAATTGTTCTTTGTAATGAAGGAACGTGTCTGACCCTTTTATGTTTTGTTGGCAGAAATAATAAAACACATTACCAAAAAAAAGATTTTCTAAATATACTCAGCTGTCACAGCTGAAAACAGTGTGATTCTTGGAGGAAAAAAATCCCAAATTGTGTATCTTTTTTCTTTCATGCTTCAGTTCAGAGGGCATTTTGGGTAAACATCACAGCATTTGCTATTTTTACAACTGTTCTACAATCACTTTTTGTTTGCAGCATCTTTATACAAAAGTGCCTGTGTCCCTGTTTTGAATTTGACAATTGTAAGTCACAGTGTGAGACCATTCTAGGAATATTTACTAGATTTTTAATACACCCAGACTTTGATTTACAGTGTCATTTTGTGATTGTGTCTTTTCAGGTCAGGATGATTTTAGAAATCGCAGTTCACAGGCTGGTGTTGCTGCAGGAACTCAGAATTTAGCGCCTGCTGGTTCCTCCTGCCTGACAGGTGATAATGGGGAGCTGAGAATAGTGAGTGTTCACGGCCGAGGAGAAGGGCCTCTGCAGGAGGAGAGCGACACCCTCTTCACTCCGTCTGAACTGCAGGCTTTTAGCTCCCTGTCTCCTGACCACGGTGTCACCCATGACAGTCTCGTGAATTTCACCTCTGCTGCGAATGACAGAGCGCCGATGAGAGCGGTGCAGGATAACAGTGTTGGACTGGTGAGAAACAGCCAGCTGGAAAAAAATCTTTCCACTCAAATGTCTACAACAGCATTGAACTCAATAAAAACAACAATGGGAGGACCCAACTGTCAACTGGGGCACCCCAGTCACATCAGCCAGTTCCCCCAGCAGCAAAATGTCTTTGCTCACAATGTCAGCAAATCCCTAGACTGCAGCTTCTGTGGCGAACGCTTCCCTAGTCGCGAGGACCTGATTGTTCACCGGGCGAGCCACACCGGGGAGTCGCCTGTTCCTTGTTCCTTGTGCGGCAAGTCATTTGTTAACAAGACCACACTTAGCATTCACATGCGCATTCACACTGGGGAGAAGCCGTATGCTTGTCCGCAGTGTGGGAAACGCTTCACACAGAACGGCAGCTTGAAGATCCACCTGAGGACTCACTCCGGAGAAAAGCCGTACACCTGCAATCAGTGCACTGCCAGCTTCAACAACCCCAGCAACCTGCGCAGGCACATGATCACACACACCTCAAACGAGATGCTCTGACTATTACTGACAAGACTTAAAGGGTCAATGTGGATTTTTATATTTTCAGTGTGTTCCTTTACTGACGCCGTGCTACCGTGCTATGTGTGTTTGGGGAAACGTGTTTGTCATGGGTTAAATGTACTTTATATCCTACATGTCTGTCAGTTCATGGCCCAATCCTAGTTCACCTCAAGCCCCTTCCATTTTCATCCACTACTCCCTTTAACTCTGTTTTGAGGGTGAAAGATATGGTTCTTATTACCATTGCTAACTCTGAGTGTAGCGGTACTCCTTAGCCTTTAGTGCCGCTTTACGGTGCAGGTCTTATGCTGTAAGTATGAGACGACATAAACAAGTTCCACAGTCCAGTTCTTGGTTTTTACGAAGGATTTACTAAATAAAAATAAACATACAAATAAAACGTTTCCTGGTTGACAAATTACTTGCTTATAACTCGGTCAGAAAAACTGTGTGCTCAGAGCCTGACCGTCCGATCCTTCCAAAAACAAAAAACACATCCGGTCACATGGTTAACAAACAACAATATGCCATAACGTAACATGTCTAGAGCACATTGTATAAAACAAACTTATTATTCCAAAACATAAAGCTATGTTGGCTATGTTTTCTTAATAACTACATAAATTAAACATTTTTCAGATTGGCTCTTACATTTCCGGCCCCTAATTGTTAACAAAGTCTAAACTTGCTAGAGCAGCAATTAACCACAAGAGCCAACAAAGTTAATGAGAAACTCATAAGCATGACTAAGCATTTAACAGTCTAACTAGACATCCTATCTCCACTAAACATTTCTAATACATAAAGTATCTATCCAATATCTATCTGACTAAAAATACCTAACAAGGGTTAGCTCAAAAATGAGGAGCAGTTGAAAACAAGGGGTTGCGGTAAAAGATAAGAAGTGGGATTGGGCCTATGAGGTGCGTCTGAAAAGTTCCAGGACTGGTTATTATTATTATTATTACAAAAAAATTTATACAAACTGCAAGTTTTCCCCTTGGAAGTAATCCCCCTCTAGTCTAATGCACATTTCCATCCTGGTCGGCCATGCCTCCATGCACTCCTGGAAGGATTCTTCCAGGATTCTCTGCAGCTCCATTGTCATGGCCCTCTTGATGGCTTCCACGTCTGGAAAAGGGGTCCCCCTGATTACTGATTACCCCCTTGAGCTTGGGGAAAAGGAAAAAAATCACACGGAGCCAGGTCAAGTGAGTAGGGAGGTTGCTTCAGCACGTAGATGTTCTTCTTGGTCAGGAACTGCTGGATACTCAGGGCGTTGTGAGCCGGCGTGTTGTCCTGATGAAGGAGCTACAACTTGTGCCACAACTCTCGCCCCTTCTCACACACTGAACAAAGCAAATGCCACAGGATCTCAGCATTTTCCCCAGCCGGACCAAAAACTTCAGGTTGATTCATTGCTCTGTGCTCATTGCTTGACGATCTGAACTTGAGGGGCTGTTAACAAGAGCATCTGAAGTAGAATACAGTGGCTGCAGAGAGCTGAGACTGCAGTTATACACATCCCAGATATTACATCACATGGTGACACAACCCGCTAATCCCTCCTCTACTCATACAGTGAGGAACAGAAGTATTTGAACACCCTGCGATTTTGCACGTTCTCCCACTTAGAAATCACGGAGGGGTCTGAAATTCACATTGTAGGTGCATTCCCACTCTGAGAGACAGAATTACCTATCACCTATATCTTGACAACTTCCAACTAAAATCACTGAACTGTTCTGGTTCAAAAATAAGATCACAAACATGCATGGTTTCCTTTCATTATGTTGAGACTTGATTTTTTTATGTTCTGTGAAAAGCAGCACTGTCAAAAATAAAATTACTACTTTGGATTTTTATACTGTTTGCAAAGCAGACAAACTCAGAAGCCTCACAACAGCCCTTGTCCATCATTTAAGGTAACTGATCACTATCTTTTAAGCATGACTGTACTAACTCCAAATTATAACGTACAGCTGTAGAGTAGCACTAGCCTACTATCTGAATGGCTGAGTATGCAACAGGCACAGATTAGGACACAAACATGGATGTGACATTGAAATAAAATACAGTATGTATACCCTCAGATATTAGAGGGGAAGTTTTTATATGGGTGACACATTTCTATTATGTTATGGATATTGTCAAATTTACAATAGAAAATGTTACAGAGTGCTGGTGTAAAGTGTTTTAAAAATTTTCGGAGCTCTCCACATCACTTACTTGACACAGATAGACTGAACTTCAGACTTGGATTTATAATTCTGAACATTATAACTAGTGATTTCTTTACAGTCAGTTCCATATCTAATATAAGGAGAGAGCAAGTTTCCCCTCTTTCATTTGAACATGTATCTTTCATTCAGAAACAAACTACCTCCACTTTTGTTTCTGTTGCTGTTCTTTTATTTCCCTTTTTTGTACTTCCTAAGTTTCAGACTGGGCAATAATAATTAGTGTGACTTTTGTCTATGGACTTGTAGTCTGGATATGTGACTAGAAATAAATATTGTTTTTATTTAACAGCTTTTGGTATCTGACGATTCTCATTTTGCACCTCTAGAGCGCAGCATTGTTTTGGTTCACAGTGGTTATTGTGACTCAGATTTACTCACTGTAGCACTGGGAGTGAGGTGGGGGGGCACTGTCTTAAGGAAACTGGGGAAATTCCTTGCATTGTTCCTCTTTCCACACTGCCCACAAATATTGGTTTGTAAAGCTTTTACTTCTCTGACGTTGATTTCGCCCCAATATTTGTAAATTCAGACATGCATTAAACCCCAGACCAAATATATACTAATTACTGTAAAAAAAAATGTTTTAAGGTTCAAAAATAAGTATGATGCAGTTGCAGTCTTGCAATAATCCCTAAATAGCTCTATGGTCATGATTCATGCATCACTTTAGCTGTTTCTGATCAAACATAGGCAAAGAATGTAATGGTCACTGGTAGTGGTTTTATGTTGCAATAGTTTTGTCGGGTTGCTGTGGAATGTTGTTGTTGTACTTACCCCCAGAAATGCTGCTTCCTCTCAGGCCATTGTTCTTGGGCAATCAATGAAATGGCATCAGAGTGTGTATATGTGAGGGAGAGGGAGGTGGTGGGAGGTAGACTGTAGTGTGTGCCGTAGACTGGATTATGAACCGGGCAACCACTCAATGGCCCCCAAAACACCGGGTTTACTAAATGTCATGTTGGTCTACATAATCAATCACTGATCAATCACAAATTTGTTAGAAACTTGCACCACTAGTATACAACATCAGCTATGACAGATTGTCTGTACTCCATTCTTTTATTGCTTGTTTTATTCTATATAGTGATTATTTTTGTAAAGTCATGTTTCATCACATTGCTTTGTAATATTATTATTATTGTATTATTGCTAGTATTATCCCATCATAGAAGTACTATAAGGCTGCAACCAACAATTATTTTCATTATCAGTACATATGACTTTTTGTAAATAACCAGTTGATTGTTTAGTCTATAAAATGTCAGAAAATAGTAAAACAAAAAAACCATCATTATTCCATAAATCCAAGTTAATATATTCAAATTGCTTTTGTTGTCTGGACAACAGTCAAAATCCCAAAGATGCTGAGTTTACCATCTGGAAAACTGAAGAACTAGCAAACAGCTGGTACAAGTGATTTTTTTTTTCTGGCATTTTTTTTTGCTTAAAAAGTGATTTAAACAGGATATAATTATAAAAATGTTTGACAATACATTTTCTCTCAATAGACTAATCAGACAATAGACTAATTTCTTGGTGCTTGAGAAAATAATGAAATGACAATGTACGGTGGCAATTTTTAGCCCCTTGTAGGAGGTTGTGGTTTTAAATGAACAGGAATACAAGGGTTTTGTTTCGTTTGCCATCTACTGAATGACTAATTCATATATAAACTCATGACCGGTGTGGAAGAAGTACTGAAATTCATTACTTAAGTAATAAATAGTAATACCACAGTGTAAAAATACTATATTACAAGTAAAAGTACAAAAGTGCTAACACCAAAATGCTCCCAAAGTACCAAAAGCAAAAGTATTAATGCAGAATGGCACATTTCACATATTTATGTACAGTCTTATTATTGGATTATAATTGTTTATGTATTATTGTGTTATCAAATAAATGTAGTGGAGTAAAAAGTATAATTTCCTCTGAAACGTAGTATTAGAGTATTAAGTAGCATGAAATGAAAATACTCAAATAAAGTACAGATAACTGAGATCGAGTTACTTCGGACAAACACCTGTGTGAGAAGACGAATTCTTCGTGCGCAGTCTTTACGGTAAAACCGCTTGTTGGTCCCGCCCCTTTTTGATAGAAAACTCGGTGATGTTGGTTCGTCTTTATTGAGCTTGACCCAGAACGTAGGGACAGTGGGGCGAACACGGGAGAAAACACTAGAAAACGGCGTAGTTTGGAAGAAGTCGGGGCAGGCTTTCCACGAGAAGGTGAGTAAGATTCATAAACGTTACAAGGTAGTTGATATAACGAGGGCCGCGTTGTTTCTTCACAGATAGTAGGTGCACTGCAGCGTTGGCAAGGAGTGGTCACATCATCGACAGAGCAGCAACACGACTCTCCGAGGCTAACGTTAGCTAACGATGCTAACCTAAAGTTCTCACAATGTGATCCGCGGTGGAGCAGTTGAGTACGTGTGATAGTTGATTAAAAAGAATCCATGATATCAAAATACAAAATACCATCTGTATTGGCTTGAAAGGTCGCTTAGCGAAACACATGCTGACTCCATCTCTTGCAACAAATGTATGCTTTCCTATGCTAACGCTAGCCGACTTGTTGGCATTGCTCTCCGTCGGTTATGTGGGTTGTTGTGATGCTAACGGGGCAAGACATCCAAACCAGGTCATACGGGTGCTGAGCCAGCATTGTGGAGAACTGGGCTGATTTGATGTCCAACGTTGTCGTTTTTTGTCTGGGCAGCAGTGTTGGCAAAGCCACCAAATAACCCAGTGCTCAAAGGCGTGAGCCTTTGTTCGTGAGAGTCATTTTTACCAGGTTCTTTTTTTCTTATAACTCTGTTTTTGTTGCGCTAGTTTGCTGCAAATTACCGCATTATTAGACTAATTCACGATTATGTGGGATTTTTTTGTGAGTTAGCAAGATCAGGGGAGATAAGTGTAGCAGTTTCAGGTGGTTCACCACAAGGTCTGCTGTAAGAAAGGAGGTTGTGGAGTTCAGCAAGCTGACACAACAATGTGACTGTCAGCCAGGGTTTGGTTCCTTAGTCTAATACACATGCTGTGTGGTTTGACCTAATTATGCGGTAGTTAAATTCCATCATCTTGACTCCAGAGAGAAGAATGAAATTAGAAACTTCCCTACTTGTTTAACTAGATATGTATGTGTACGTTGAGCCTGTGTTTGAGTCTGTTGGTGGTGCTCCTGCAGTTGTAGTCTGTCACACGGGCTGGGATTTAAATTTTGTCAGCATGTGAACCTGTTGGGTGGGTCCTGTGGGAACTTGTTTTAGTAGGAAAATGCCCAGGTGTGGATAACTAAGTATGAACAAGAAAACTAGCTTTTCCCCTTGAAAACACTGGTTTCATGCAGGTCTATATTGTAGTGAGTTTTAGGGTTATCTCAGTTTATGCGTATAGGTATCACTGGGTCGGGACTGTAGTTGAATTGATGTGTGCAGCAGGTGCCACTATTTGGGCCTGTGAAGGAGAAGAATCCTATTTGTCATTTTAACATGTACAGCGAAGTTTTGTTTGGAGCCAAGGGCTCCGGGCCGCTGCGTGTATTAGGCACCACCTTCATGGGCAACTTGGGGGTTCAGTGTCTTGCCCAAGGACACTTCGACATGTGGATTACAGGCACCAAGATTCGACCTCCAACCGTCCGGTTAGGAGATGACTGCTCTACCCGTTGGACCACTGTCGCCCCCGTGTATCAACCTTTTCTGGCTGGTGGATACTTGTCTCCAAGTCATTTCATCTCCAAGTTTGATTGTTGATGCCTGGTCCCAAAGCTGACTGCAGGTGTGCAGGTTAATCCACAAAAGGCCTACTGTGTGCATGTGTTAAGAGGTAAGTGGATTAGTGGGCTAAAGCTTGAATCCCATTACAAGCCACGCTCAGGTTTAAATCAACGCCAGTGGCGTCACACTGACTTTTAAGCAGCTAGCAGTGTGTGTTACTTTGAGGTGTGTGAACAGGTGTGCATTTTGTCAGTGAATGTGTTGTTTTAGTTGGAGTTTCTGCTTCTGATAGCAGGTGTTGAGTTTCATTAAGTCGACAGAGGCTGTATTGTTGGTTACATATGTGTATGATCACAGCTGTCTTCTGACATGGTTGAATGAGTCATGCTGTGACTGCTCCGCAATCAGATGAGGATATGTGACTTGGTGTCAGGGCTCGATCTGTGTGTGTGGTGGTGTGGGGGGGGGGGGGGTGTGTGTGTGTGTGTGTGTGTTGGTGACCTCAAGGCACTCTGCTTGACATTTTGAACATTTGTTGCCGTCGTGTTTGGGATAGCAGAACATGATTTTTTTTTTTTTTTCGTCCATGTGCTGCTGTTCTCTCACTATTTAAAGATTATGAAAAAAAACATGTTTTTCTGCTGATAGTAACATATCTGGGGTTTTCAACATAGAAAGTCATGTAATGTAGCAAATGAGTGCTCGGGATCATGTGTGACCTCACTGGTTCAGTTCATCCTTCATTTCTCAGCAGAGAAATTTTCTAAAATATGTTTTGCTGCTTTTGTTTTCTTTAGTTGAAATGATCCATCTGGACATAATGTTTGTTAGCTTGTAAAAACTAGGACAGTAACAAGTGAGCATCTGTTTACATTTTTGAATACTGTGCAGATTATAGTTTTAATATTTTAAAAAGCCAATGCAGGTTTCACAGAGCTCAAGATGAGTTCCTCAAATTGCTTATTTTTAGGGAAATAGTCAAAATCCTAAATATAATACATTTATTGTAATAGGGAAGTAAGAAAACCAACAAATATTCATGTTTCTGACACTGGAACCAGTAAGGTTTTTGAGTTTTCACTTAAAAAAATTAATTAGTTCAATAATCAATATATTAATAATCATTAGATTTGACTTGTCTATTGACTCATTGTTTCAGCTGCTTAGAAATTTGTGGGAACACATTCTTAAACAAACCCAAATATAGTAATGTCTTTAAAAGGGAAAATGACTTGTGTCATGATTCAGCCATGCACGTTCATAGCGATAGCTTCCGAAAGGTCACAAAAGCAGAACAAAGCACTGTAGACAGAGAACAGCATTAGCAAAATGGGAAGTGGTTTGTGGTGATACCACCATTATACAATCAACAGCTGGACTGTGGGGGATTTTTACCACAAAAAGACACTATTAATGGAGAAAGCTAACCATCAGGGTGGTCAAGTATAGGCTTGCATGGTTTTGTGTATAAGCAGTTCTGTTGAGGAAAATGGTTTTCAGTGAGCCAAAGTAGCCTTTTCATCCCTTCACTCATCTCTGATGTTGGATCCACAACATCCTGTTTCTCAGGAAGTGGATAAGAGGGGAAAGGGGTGGGGAGTGGCAATGGGACAGCACTGATTGTTTTCACTGTTCAACGAAACTCACAGCTGACTTTCAAGGTCAAAAGTAACAGCTGTGAGAGAGGGAGAGCAATAGAGGACAGAAGTCACGAGTGAGTAGAAACAGCGTGAAGCCTCCCACCCTGGACACACGCTAACACAGATGCACTCGCACCGAAATACGTCCAGTGATGTTTTCCTCACTCTCCAACCCCTGCCACACTTGTGTTTATGTTCTTGGTTGCACACATTTTTCATTGTTCCACTAAACTCCCAGACTGACAGCTGCAAATTCCCTTCTTTGGCTGCAGTTGAAACGCACACACACACAGAATCACATTCCCAAGTACACTTGCCAAGAAATATCAGTTGCAGTTTATAATTCATCTTGTGTGAATGACAGTTGTGCTCGTTAGTGAAATAAGATCATGTGTTGCTGGTTAATTATTTGTTGCAACAGCGATAAGATGGTGGAGATGGTGTTTACATGTCGAATGAAATTATGGAAACATGCCAGATGAGAAGAGATTTGTTTAATTTGTGTTTTTCTGTGTTTGGCTCCTCATGAAACTTACACTGAAGCGCTGTGACAAATCTCTGAGTGATTATTAGCCATTGATCGACTAAGGTTGTTTTACAGTGGATGAGTGGCTGGGTTGCTGTGCTGAATTGGCAGGAGACAATGCTAGGAATGCAAGTTTGGCTTTTATTCAGCACTCCTTTGCCTATCTCTACCCCCACCCCCCACGTCTTTGCTTTTATGCACCCTCTTGCTCCCCTTCTGTCTTTTTCACTGCCTGTCTTTTTGCTCGTTCTCTTTGTTTGCCGCTCTCTGCCCATATCTGTCTGTCTGTAGTGGATAATATCAGCCCTGTCCTGGCTATGACCATATATAGGCACGTGTGGTACAGGGCAGCAGTTTGCAAGTTGTTCAGGTGGGAGGTTATGGCTCTTGGGCGCCACAGCCTCTGAGCAAAGCATAGTGTCTTCTTGTCTGTCAGCCTTATCATTTATATAAGTCTTGGCTTTGGTTTGAATGGATTACTTGTGAAATATCAGCCCCCCCCCCCCCCCCGAAC